GCCTCTGGCCGCGTGAGCAAGATGTGGGCCTCTGGCCTCGTGAGAAGATGTGGGCCTCTGGCCGCGTTTGAGAAAGATGTGGGCCTCTGGCCGCGTGAGCAAGATGTGGGCCTCTGGCCTCGTGAGACAGATGTGGGCCTCTGGCCGCATTTGAGAAAGATGTGGGCCTCTGGCCGCGTGAGCAAGATGTGGGCCTCTGGCCTCGTGAGAAAGATGTGGGCCTCTGGCCGCGTTTGAGAAAGATGTGGGCCTCTGGCCGCGTGAGCAAGATGTGGGCCTCTGGCCTCGTGAGAAAGATGTGGGCCTCGGGCCGCGTTTGAGAAAGATGTGGGCCTCTGGCCGCGTGAGCAAGATGTGGGCCTCTGGCCTCGTGAGAAAGATGTGGGCCTCTGGCCGCGTTTGAGAAAGATGTGGGCCCTGGGCCTCTGGCCGCGTGAGCAAGATGTGGGCCTCTGGCCTCGTGAGAAAGATGTGGCCGCGTTTGAGAAAGATGTGGGCCTCTGGCCGCGTTTGAGCAAGATGTGGGCCTCGTGGGCCTCTGGCCGCGTTTGAGCAAGATGTGGGCCTCTGGCCGCGTTTGAGAAAGATGTGGGCCTCTGGCCGCGTTTGAGAAAGATGAGAAAGATGTGGGCCTCTGGCCGCGTTTGAGCAAGATGTGGGCCTCTGGCCGCGTTTGAGCAAGATGTGGGCCTCTGGCCGCGTTTGAGCAAGATGTGGGCCTCTGGCCGCGTTTGAGAAAGATGTGGGCCTCTGGCCGCGTTTGAGAAAGATGTGGGCCCTGGGCCTCTAGCCGCGTGAGCAAGATGTGGGCCTCTGGCCTCGTGAGAAAGATGTGGGCCTCTGGCCGCGTTTGAGAATGATGTGGGCCTCTGGCCGCGTGAGCAAGATGTGGGCCTCTGGCCTCGTGAGAAAGATGCGGGCCTCTGGCCGCGTTTGAGAAAGATGTGGGCCTCTGGCCGCGTGAGCAAGATGTGGGCCTCTGGCCTCGTGAGAAAGATGTGGGCCTCTGGCCGCGTTTGAGAAAGATGTGGGCCTCTGGCCGCGTGAGCAAGATGTGGGCCTCTGGCCTCGTGAGAAAGATGTGGGCCTCTGGCCGCGTTTGAGCAAGATGTGGGCCTCTGGCCGCGTTTGAGAAAGATGTGGGCCTTTGGCCTCGTGAGAAAGATGTGGGCCTGTGGCCGCGTTTGAGAAAGATGTGGGCCTCTGGCCACGTGAGCAAGATGTGGGCCTCTGGCCTCGTGAGAAAGATGTGGGCCTTTGGCCGCGTTTGAGCAAGATGTGGGCCTCTGGCCGAGTGAGCAAGATGTGGGCCTCTGGCCGCGTGAGCAAGATGTGGGCCTCTGGCCGCGTGAGCAAGATGTGGGCCTCTGGCCGCATGAGCAAGATGTGGGCCTCTGGCCGCGTGAGCAAGATGTGGGCCTCTGCCCGCGTTTGAGAAAGATGTGGGCCTCTGGCCGCGTTTGAGAAAGATGTGGGCCTCTGGCCGCGTTTGAGAAAGATGTGGGCCTCTGGGCGTTTGAGCAAGATGTGGGCCTGTGGCCGTGTTTGAGAAAGATGTGGGCCTCTGGCCGCGTGAGCAAGATGTGGGCCTCTGGCCGCGTGAGCAAGATGTGGGCCTCTGGCCGCGTGAGCAAGATGTGGGCCTCTGGCCTCGTGAGCAAGATGTGGGCCTCTGGCCGCGTTTGAGAAAGATGTGGGCCTCTGGCCGCGTGTGAGCAAGATGTGGGCCTCTGGCCGCGTGTGAGCAAGATGTGGGCCTCTGGCCGCGTGTGAGCAAGATGTGGGCCTCTGGCCACGTTTGAGCAAGATGTGGGCCTCTGGCCGCGTTTGAGCAAGATGTGGGCCTTTGGCCGCGTTTGAGCAAGATGTGGGCCTCTGGCCGCGTTTGGGAAAGATGTGGGCCTCTGGCCGCGTGAGCAAGATGTGGGCCTCTGGCTGCGTTTGAGAAAGATGTGGGCCTCTGGCCACGTTTGAGAAAGATGTGGGCCTCTGGCCGCGTTTGAGCAAGATGTGGGCCTCTGGCCGCGTTTGAGCAAGATGTGGGCCTCTGGCCGCGTTTGAGCAAGATGTGGGCCAGCAAGATGTGGGCCTCTGGCCGCGTTTGAGCAAGATGTGGGCCTCTGGCCGCGTTTGAGCTAGATGTGGGCCTCTGGCCGCGTTTGAGCAAGATGTGGGCCTCTGGCCGCGTTTGAGCAAGATGTGGGCCTCTGGCCGCGTTTGAGCAAGATGTGGGCCTCTGGCCGCGTGTGAGCAAGATGTGGGCCTCTGGCCGCGTGTGAGCAAGATGTGGGCCTCTGGCCGCGTGTGAGCAAGATGTGGGCCTCTGGCCGCGTGTGAGCAAGATGTGGGCCTCTGGCCGCGTGTGAGCAAGATGTGGGCCTCTGGCCGCGTGTGAGCAAGATGTGGGCCTCTGGCCGCGTGTGAGCAAGATGTGGGCCTCTGGCCGCGTGTGAGCAAGATGTGGGCCTCTGGCCGCGTGTGAGCAAGATGTGGGCCTCTGGCCGCGATGTGGGCCTGTGGCCGTGTTTGAGAAAGATGTGGGCCTCTGGCCGCGTGAGAAAGATGTGGGCCTCTGGCCGCGTGAGCAAGATGTGGGCCTCTGGCCGCGCGAGCAAGATGTGGGCCTCTGGCCTCGTGAGCAAGATGTGGGCCAGCAAGATGTGGGCCTCTGGCCGCGTTTGAGCAAGATGTGGGCCTCTGGCCGCGTGTGAGCAAGATGTGGGCCTCTGGCCGCGTTTGAGCAAGATGTGGGCCTCTGGCTGCGTTTGAGCAAGATGTGGGCCTCTGGCCGCGTTTGAGCAAGATGTGGGCCTCTGGCCTCGTGAGCAAGATGTGGGCCTCTGGCCTCGTGAGAAAGATGTGGGCCTCTGGCCGCGTTTGAGCAAGATGTGGGCCTCTGGCCGCGTTTTAGCAAGATGTGGGCCTCTGGCCGTGCGAGCAAGATGTGGGCCTCTGGCCGCGTGAGCAAGATGTGGGCCTCTGGCCTCGTGAGAAGATATGGGCCTCTGGCCTTGTGAGAAGATGTGGGCCTCTGGCCGCGTGAGAAAGATGTGGGGCTCTGGCCGCGTGAGAAAGATGTGTGCCTCTGGCCTCGTGAGAAGATGTGGGCTTCTGGCCTCGCGAGAGAGACGTGGGCCGCTGGCCGCGTGAGAAAGATGTAGGCCTCTGGCCTCGTGAGAAAGATGTGCCTCTGGCCGCCTGAGAAAGATGTCGGCCTTTGGCCTCGTGAGAAAGATGTGGGCCGCTGGCCGCGTGAGAAAGATGTGGGCCTCGGGCCACGCGAGAGAGGCCTTGTTAACTTGTTAAGATGTGGGCCGCCTCGTGAGAAAGAGGCTCTGGCCGCGTGAGAAAGATTGTGAGAGAGAGATGGTCTTGTGAGAGGGATGTGGGCCTTTGGTGGCGTGAGAGAGGGATGGGCCTTTGGCTGCATGAGAGGGGGTGTGGGCCTCTGGCCGCACGAGAAACACGTGGGCATCTTTCCGCGTGAGGGATGTGGGCCTTCGGCCATGTCTGAGAGATGTGGGCCGCTGGCCATGAATGAGCTACGGTTTAGATAGATAGATAGATTGATTGATTGATTGATAAGATAGATAGATAGATAGATGGATAGATAGATAGATAGAAGATAGATAAACAGATATGTACATGAGAAGGAGAGTATTTAGAATATATATGTATTTATATATATATATATATGCAAACCTTGATGAGAAGGAGAGGTTTATTGGTGTTGGGTCCAAATGGGCTTCGGAGTTCAGTGCCCCTGCCCGGAGCGGGGTCTCCGACCTGCGCTTTGAGAGTGATGAGAGGGCAGCGCCGGAAAGTGTCAAGGGGGAGGTTTAGGGTTTGGGGTTTAGGGTTTAGGGTTTAGGGTGTACGGTTAAGGTTTAGGCTTTAGGGCTTTGGGCTTTGGGCTTAGGGTTTAAGGTTGCATTGCGCGGCGCGTATAGGACCCTGAGTCCCCAAAACCCTGAAACCTGAAACCCTATAAACCCTATAAACCCTATAGACCCTATAAACCCTAAGCCCTAAACCCTAAGCCCTAAGCCCTACACCCCGAAACCCTTATAAACCCCAAACCTGATAGACCCGACGCAGCCCCAAGACTTAAACAGCCCTAAACCCTGAAGTGTTAGACCCTACTCGGGCTTGGAGGTGAGCCACAACATTCCCAAGACAATCTTCCACCCCAGCCGAAGTGTCTGAAGCCCCACAAGCTCTGCTAAACTCTCCCTGTACCGCATACCCTCAGAACACCTCACACCCCCCCCCCCCCAAACAGATTTAGGGGTTCAGAGTTTGGGGTTTCTTCAGGGCTTCCGGGTTTCAGAGCTTCGGAGATAGTTCGGCTGAGGCTTGAAACAGGTGTTGGCGGGCCTGTTGGGCTTTCAGTCTGGGCTTCGGGTTTAGGGCTTCAGGTTTTCAAGGTTCAGGGTTTCAGGGCTTTAGGGTTTAGGGTTTTAGGGTTTGAGAGTTTGAGGGTTTTAGGGTTTTAGGGTTTTACGGTTTTAGAGTTTTAGGGTATTTGGGTATTGGGGTTCAGGGTGTTGAGTAGCTCACCGTCATGCACCTATCTGCCCGCAACTAATTTCGCAGGGCGTTGTCGTGCTTGAACCTCGCACGTCTACTGGCTCGTCGAATCTCTATAATCCTTAGGCCCAAGCCCCTAAACCCTAAACTTAACCCGAAGCCATAACCCCTAAGCACTAAACCTTTTTTTTCCCCAGCTCTGAGGCCCGAAGAACAGCGCAAAAGTTGGTGGCCATGCTTCTGCATCGCCTTGAATGATCTGGCTTGTAGGAGGAGAGCCCCGCCCCTGAGCTCAATTCCCAAACCCGGCTAGAAACCTGCTCCTAAGCCCAACGCACTACACCCTTGAACCCCTTAAACTCCCGAAGCCCACGCCTCAAGCCCCTAAACCCCGAACCCCTAAGCCCCAAACCCTAAACCCTGAACCCTGAACCCTGAACCCTGAACCCCCAAAGCCCTAGTTCGCGAACATGGCTCGCGTGGCTGTTCTGGGGGCGGGGTGCATCGGCCAGTGGGCGGGCGGACCCGGGACCGAACTCGGATTTGGGGTTTAGGGTTTAGGGGTTCAGCGGTTTAGAGTTTAGGGTTTCGGGTTTAGGGTTTAGGGTTTAGGGATTTAGGGATTTAGGAGTTTAGGGGTTTAGGGGTTTTGGGGGTTTAGGGCTTAGGGTTAAGAAGAGTACAGGGTAGGAAAAGGCCCAAACCTTTCAGTTTCCTATGAGGGCCGGCGTGGGCTTTGGGATTTTGGGTGTATGGGGTTCATCAATTTTTCGAGTTTATAGGGTTTTGTGCGGCTATGGGTCTGCATGGTTGGCAGTCTGTAGCGTCTTCCGGGTTCATCAGGGGTTACTTGGAGGTTCAGGGTACTTGTAACCCCAATCATAACTCTACTTCTAAGACCCCTAAGTCCTCTAAGTAGGCTATAAGTAGACACAATTGTGGTTACCCATGAACCTCCAAGCAGGCGATTCAGGGTCAATACTGGGTCCTAAACCCTAAACCCTAAACCCTAAACCCTAAACCCTAAACCCTAAACCCTAAACCCTAAAGCCTAAACCCTAAACCCTAAACCCTAAACCCTAAACCCTCAACCCTAAACCCTAAACCCTCAACCCTTAAACCCTAAACCCTAAACCCTGAACGCTAAACCCTAAACCCCAAACCCTAAACCCTAAACCCTAAACCCTAAACCTAACTCGGAATGTGTGTTGTGGCCTCCTCTTTCGCAAGTTTGGAGCCCTCTGAAGCATGGCGTGAAGGATGTCTGAAAGGTAAACCCTAAACCCTAAACCCTAAACCCTAAACCCTAAACCCTAAACCCTAAACCCTAAACCCTAAACCCTAAACCCTAAACCCTAAACCCTAAACCCTAAACCCTAAACCCTAAACCCTAAACCCTAAACCCTAAATCCTAACCCTAAACCCTAAACCCTAAACCCTAAACCCTAAACCCTAAACCCTAAACCCCAAACCCTAAACCTTAAACCCTAAACCCTAAACCCTAAACCTAACTCGGAATGTGTGTTGTGGCCTCCTCTTGCGCAAGTTTGGAGCCCTCTGAAACATGGCGTGAAGGATGTCTGAAAGGCAGACCCCTAAACCCGAAACCCGAAACCCGAAACCCTAAACCCTAAACCCTAAACCCTAAACCCTAAACCCTAAACCCTAAACCCTAAACCCTAAAACCCTAAAACCCTAAAACCCTAAAACCCTAAAACCCTAAAACCCTAAAACCCTAAACCCTAAACCCTAAACCCTAAAGGGAAGAAATCCCACAGGTCGGTGGCCACCTGGCACTCCGCGGCGTAGATGTGCCCTAGCTTCAAGGAGGGGGGGGTTTAGGGTTTAGGGTTTAGGGTTTAGGGTTTAGGGTTTAAGGCGTTTAAGGCGTTTAGGGCTTTCAGGGCATTTAGGGCATTTAGGGCATTTAGGGGTTTGGGGTGTAGGGTTTTCGAGCTTTCAGGGGGGTTAGGGTTTTGGGTTTTAGTGTTTAGGGTTTGGGATTTCGGGTTTAGGGTGTAGGGTTTTCGAGCTTTTAGGGGGTTAGGATTTTGGGGTTTAGGGTTTTGGGGTGTATGGAGTTTTGGGATTAGGGGTTAGGGGTTTGGGGTTTTAGGGGTCTAGGGGTTTTGGGTTTGGGTTTTCGGGTTTAGAAATTGACAGGGTTGCAGGGTTTAAGGGTTCAGGGCTTACAGGGTTTCAGGCAAAGTTTGAGGGTTCGGGGTTTTGGGGGTCCACGCTTTTCGGGGGCTTCGGCTTGGGGCTCAGGCTTTAGGAAGTTTCGTGTTCAGAGGCTCTGGAGGGTTCCCAAGGACAGGGGCTTTCAAGACTTACAGGGCTTAGGTTCACCTTGTTTAGGACACGGGTCTACGGGCTTGATACGTCTTATCGGTCCCAGTTTTTGTAGTCTAAACCCGAAACCCGAAACCCTAAACCCGAAACTCGAAACCCCAACCCCTAAACCCTAAAGCCTCGTCTTGCTTACGCTGTTTCCTTGGATGGCTCTCAGCCCCACACTCACTTGCAAAGCCCAGCCGGGTAGAGAAATCGCGCAGGGCTTTGAGTGTTGGATCGCTTTAGCCGCATACGGGGGTTTCCGAACATGGGGGACCCATTTCGGGGTCCTATATAAGGATGCTAGTATTTGTGGTTACGTTACGGGTGCCCCTTCTTGGGGAAATGCCCATGTTATAGCACATTGCCATACGATAATGACAGTAGTGACATCTCATAAAAGCATGACTCGAGCAAGTTGTTCAGACCAAGTTCCTAAGCTGTTCTACGTTGCTATACGCTGCTACAACGAGCCGGCACGGTGCCAGAGGGGCACCTTCCACACGTCTGCTTACACGCCTGATCGCATGTCTCTGATCCTGAGCGTGAGCCTGCTGAGTGGCAAGACCGTGTCGGTGGAAGCAGAGTTGGGCACGTCCGTGGGGGAGCTGAGGCAAAGAGCGCAGACGGCCCTGGCAGTTGGCAAGGGGCGTCTCCTGGACCCTTCTGGGCGCGCCCTGGATGAGGTCGCAACGGTCAAAGAATCCGGGCTGCAGACTGGGGACTCGCTGAGCTTTCATATACGCAGAATCCAGCTCCAGGCAACCTCGCGCGCTTTTGCTGCAATCCTGGCTGACGGATCGGTCGTGACTTGGGGCGCTGCTGCATATGGTGGCAGCAGCCGTGCCGTGCGGGACCAGCTCAAGAACGTGGAGCAGATCAAAGCCTCTGATGGAGCCTTTGCCGCCATCCTGGGTGATGGATCGGTAGTGACCTGGGGTCAAGCTGACGACTATGGCGGCGACAGTAGGGCTGTGCAAGGTCAGCTGAGGAATGTGCGGGAAATCCAGGGTTCCCAGAGAGCTCTTGCTGCCATCCTTGGCGACGGATCCGTCGTGGCCTGGGGCGACGATGACTTTGGCGGCAACTGTGCTTCGGTGCAAGAGCAGCTGGCAGATGTGCGGCAGATCCACGGCACGGAAGCCGCTTTTGCGGCGATCCGGGCTGATGGATCAGTTGTGACTTGGGGCTATGGTGATTTCGGTGGCGACAGTACGGCTGTGCAAGATCAGTTGAAGAACGTGCAGCACATCCAAGGCACCGAAGCTGCTTTTGCTGCGATCCTGGCCGATGGATCAGTCGTGACCTGGGGCGATGCTGCGCGTGGCGGCGACAGCAGTGCTGTTCAAGATCGGCTCAAGAAAGTGCAGCAGATCCAATCCACTCTTTCCGCGTTTGCCGCGATCCTGGACGACGGGTCTGTGGTGACGTGGGGCTCGGCTGACTCAGGCGGCGACAGCGGGGCTGTGCAGAGTCAGCTGAGAGACGTGCAGCAGATCCGCTCCTCCTTCTTCGCTTTTGCTGCCATTCTGAGTGACGGATCGGTGGTGACCTGGGGCCAAAGCGAATGTGGTGGCGACAGTAGTGGCCTAGTAGTAGAGTAGGTAACCTTTAACCTTTTTGGGGTAATATGAATCCCCTTATATTCCCAAAGGCTAACCTTTAAATCCCAAGGTTACTGGACAACTAAGGTGCTGTACAAGATCGGTTGAAGAATGTGCAGCAGATCCAGGGCACCGAAGCCGCCTTTGCTGCGATCCTGGGCGAGGGTTCCGTGGTGACCTGGGGAGAGACCGATGCTGGTGGTGACTACATCTGCCTTGGGAATTGTTTAGTATTTTTGTTGATATAAAGCCCAAGAGGATATTAAAAAGAATTAGTTTAGTATTTTTGTTTATATAAAGCCCAAGAGGATATTAAGAATAATTATTGTTATTAAGGTTCTAAGTGGAGTATAGGTGATAGCAGTGCCGTGCAGCACCAGCTGAAGAATGTGCAGCAAATCCAAGCCTCCACAGGCGCGTTTGCCGCAGTCGTCCAGGATGGCTCCGTGATTGCTTGGGGCCATGATGACTATGGTGGCAACATGAGTGCCGTGCAAGACCAGCTGGCTAGCGTTTTAAGTCTTTAGGGCCAAGGTGCCCCAGCTGCTCATGCCTTTATGCTGCCATTTCTGCCGTCTCGCGTCTGACGAACCGGAAAGTGTGAGAAGACGCTGTAACTATAGCAGGAGTTTGAGTTTACCATGGGTTGTGGAAGAGATTGGTCCGCAGCTGTAGAAAATTTGGTAGGTGCGCAGAGGACTTGTATGCAAGGGACGGTGGGTAGATTTACTGTGTTTGGAGTACTATTCTTTTATACGTTTTTTGGTTCTGGGTTCCAACAAAAGCCATTTATATATACCTAAAAGAATATTTGTTTTTCAAGGTCTGGTAGGGTTTAAGCTTGGTGAAGCAATATTCTATGTACGACTTGAGCACGCCTTAAATTCCTCCTGACGGTGCCTGTACAAAACATCAACAGCAACTGCCACCAATCCAACGGCTTCTTAAGCCACGAAGTGTCGTTAAAAAACGGTGTATTAGGCATGTCATGTGCACGAAACACTGCAAATAACGATGGATTCACCCCCTTGGAAAGTGCGGCAAACGAGGGTGATGGAGCCTAGTACTAGTACTAGTGCGAGTGCGAGTGCGAGGGCGAGCGTGAGTGCGAGTGCGAGTGCGAGTGCGAGTGCTAGTGCTAGTGCTAGTGCTAGTGCCAGTGCCAGTAGTAGTACCAGTGCACTAGCACTAGCGCTAGCGCTCGTGCTGGGGCTGGGGCTGGTGCTGGTGCTGTTGCTACTGCTACGGCTACTGCTACTGCTACTGCTACTGCTACTGCTACTGCTACTACTACTACTACTACTACTACTACTACTACTACTACTACTACTACTACTACTACTACTACTACTACTACTACTACTACTACTGCTACTTGTTGACCGTTTGCCTTCTTAGGGTATCTGAACAACAGCAAAGGTGCTGCTCGTGGGCAAGGGCCTGCTCGCGTGCGGCTCAGAATTGCCCTAGACGAAGACGGAGAACCCTAATTACAACCCTAAATCCTGCAACCCCCAGGCCCTAGCCTAAACCCTGAAACCTCAAACCCCTCAACCACTACACCTCTCTTGAGCCCCGAAACCCTGAAACCTCAAAGCCGTGTACCCAAAACCCCAAAACCCCAGACCCTCAAAACCACCTAAATCTAAACCTAAAAACCCCACAACCCTACAGCCCTAAGCTACCCTAAAACCCTAAACCCTAAACCCCAAACAATTTGAACCATGGGCTGGATCCGGGAGTCGTTGCTTTGGCGCAAACCGCCTCGGCAGCCCGGCTGGCCCAACGCGGGCCTCAACCCTATTAAGCCCGGTTTAGGGTTATAGGGTTTAGGGTTCAGGGTTCAGGGTTTGGGGTTTAGGGGTTTAGGGGTTTAGGGGTTTAAAGGTTTAGGAGTTTAGGGGTTTAGGGGTTTAGGGGTTTAGGGGTTTAGGGGTTTAGGGGGTTTAGGGGTTTAGGGGTTTAGGGGTTTAGGGGTTTAGGGGTTTAGGGGTTTAGGGGTTTAGGGGTTTAGGGGTTTAGGGGTTTAGGGGCTTAAGGGGGTTTAGGGGGTTTAGGGGGTTTTCCGGGTTTAGGGGCTTAAGGGGGTTTAGGGGTTTAGGCCCAAGGTTCCTAAAAACCCATCCGCCAGGGCCGCACAGTCGACTCCGGACGCCTCCGGCTCACGGACGTGGAGCGGGATGCCGCAGGCTGGGGTTTAGGGTTTAGGGTTTAGGGTTTAGGGTTTAGGGTTTAGGGTTTAGGGTTTAGGGTTTAGGGTTTAGGGTTTAGGGTTTAGGGTTTAGGGTTTAGGGTTTAGGGTTTAGGGTTTAGCGTTTAGCGTTTAGGGTTTAGGGTTTAGGGGTTAGGGTTTAGGGTTCAGCATCTCAAGTCCAAGCATTTCACTAGTAGAGCTCCTTACTCCGGTATCGAATATCGACCCACCCACCCATTGGATCCCATAACATTATGAAAATATTTTACTTTATGTTTTAACCTTTAAATTATAGGGTTCAGTAGGCTGCCGCCCAGGGTGGGCCCTAAACCCTAAAGGCAGCCCAGAGCTGGGCCTAAACCCTAAAGCCAGCCCAGAGTAGGCCCTACACCCTAAAGCCAGCCCCGAGTAGGCCCTCCCCACCCCACCCTTGATCATCCTCTTCTTGTCCGGGAATTTTTGGTGTTTGTCCGGGAATTTTTGGTGCTTGTCCGGGAATTATTGGTGCTTGTCCGGGAATTGTTTGTGCTTGTCCGGAAATTTTTGGTGCTTGTCCGGAAATTTTTGGTGTTTGTCCGGGAATTTTTCGTGCTTGTCCGGAAATGTTTGGTGCTTGTCCGGGAATATTTGGCTCTTGTCCGGGAGTTTTTGGTGCTTGTCCGGAAATTTTTGGTGCTTTGACCGGGAATTGCTGGTGCTTTGTCCGGGAATTTTTCGTGCTTGTCCGGGAATGTTTGGTGCTTGTCCGGGAATTGTTGGTGGTTGGCAGTGAATTGTTGCTTGCCCGGGAAGTGTTGGTGCTTGTCCGGGAATTGCTGGTGCTTTGTCCGGGAATTTTTGGTGCTTGTCCGGGAATGTTTGGTGCTTGTCCGGGAATTGTTGGTGCTTGTCCGGGAAATTTTGGTGGAAAACCGCCAATCCATTAGCTTTTAAACATACATAGGTTAGAGAGTGTTTAGGGTTTAGGGTTTAGGGTTTCGGGTTTCGGGTTTCGGGTCTCGGGTTTCAGGTTTAGGGTTTTGGGTTCGGGTTTGAGGTTTAGGGTTTAGGGTTTAGGGTCTAGGGTTTAGGGTTTAGGGTTTAGGGTTTAGGGTTTAGGGCTTAGGGTTTAGGGTTTAGGGTTTAGGGTCAGATGGCCAGTTCTCACACCTCTGGGGCCCCCCCCCCCCTTGTTTTGGGGTATCCCTAAACCCAAAACCCTAAATCCTACACCCTACACCCTACACCCTAAACCCTCAAACAAAAAAATGTTCCTGGACCCCCGGCAGGATTCGACGAGTCCCTGCCGCTCCCCGGCCACCCGCACCTCGCCGCCAGCTTTGACATGCAGGAGGCATCTCGGCTTCTAGATTCTAGAGGGTTTAGGGTAGTTTAGGGTAGTTTAGGGTTTAGGGTTTAGGGTTTAGGGCTCAGGGAGCCTTCAGCCCCACAAAGCTTCCAGCGCTCGAGGCAGAGGATGTCGGGTTTAGGGGAGCAGGGTTTTGCGGTTCCGGGTTTGTCTTGGGTTTCCTATCATAACGCGGAGCTGCTTGTTCCGGGTTGAGGGATAGGAATGAGGGTTTACGGTGAAGGGGGTAGGGTCAACCCCTAAACCCCAACCCCTAAACCCTCAACCCTCAACCTTCAACCTGCCCTACACCCTACACCCTACACCCTAAACCCTAAACCCTAAACCCTAAACCCTAAACCCTAAACCCGGCTTCAGGGTTAAGGGTTTAGGGTTTAGGGTTTGGGGTTTAGAGTTTAGGGTTTAGGGTTAAGGGTTTAGGGTTGAGGGTTGAGGGTTCCCTAAACCCTAAACCCAAGACCCTAGACAGCACAGGCCTTTCAGTCGGATGACTTCCTGGCTGTCTTCGTGTGCCTCAAGTTGGGCCGCGGGCTCGGACTGTGGAGGGGTTTCGGAGTGCGGGGTTTTGACGGGGTTTAGGGACTGGGGTTTAGAGTTTGGGGTTTCGGCTTTGGGGTTTGGGGTTTATGGTTTCAATGGGGTTAGGAATAGAAAACTGAGGCTCTAGAGCTTCAACCGCCGAAAGACCGGTAGGGTTTGAACCCTGAACCCCTAAACCCTAGACCCTAAACCCTGAACCCTCAAACCCTCCCCGAGGCGACAACGACCTCGCGGCATCTCTGGGCAAGTTGAAGAAGGACACGGCGGCACAGCGGCAGCTAGCAGGCTTGAGCGTTTAGGCTTTAGGGTTTAAGGCTTAGGGGCTTAGGGTTCAGGAGTTTCGGGGTTCAGGGGTTTAGGGGTTTAGGGGTTTAGGGGTTTACGGGTTTAGGGGTTCAGGGGTTTAGGGGTTTAGGGTTTGGGTTTTTAGGGGTTTAGGGTTTGGGGCTAAAGGGTTTTAGCTTGCGGGGTTTATAGGCTTCGGGGTTCGGGCTCGGAGTTTATGGTGTAGAGAGTTTGCGGTTTGGGGATAGCGGGGTTTACGGTAATCTGGGACCGCTAGTTTAGACCCCAATAGTAGGATTCCTTCATAATGAGGACCCCAATAAGAATTTTGTAAACCCCCCATATAGGGTTGTCGAGGCAAGGGTGAAGTGCCGAAGGCATCGGGAGATTTCGGGGCTTCTAGGAGGTTCATGGTAGTCATTAACCAATTATTCGTGTACTTATAACTGTTCTTGTAACCATATTAGGGCACTTAAGGGGCTTATAAGTGGGTTATACGAACATTGAAAATTGGCGAAACCCTAAACCCTAAACCCGAAAACCCTAAACCCTAAACCCTAAACCCCAAACACTAAACCCGAAACCCTCAAACCAAAAACCCTAAACCCTAAACCCCAAACTCTGAAGTGTTGAAGGCATTGGGGCTTCTTGGAGGCTGTTGCTGCAACATCCGAGGTGATCGTCTCGATGCAGAACGGCGCCGTCCTGAGAGTTTGTTTGGGGAGACCCGAAATAAACCTAAACCCGAAACCCTAAACCCTAAACCCGAAACCCTAAACCCTAAACCCGAAACCCTAAACCCTAAACCCTAAAGCATGCCCAACAGAGCGCGAAGATGCAAAAGGCATCGGCAACAAGAAGAAGCTGGCGAAGCTTCTGCCGGAGCACCTTGGCCCCGGTTCACAGGGTTTAGGGTGTAGGGTTTAGGGTTTAAGGTTTGGGGTTTAGGGTTTAGGTTTAGGGTTTAGGGCGTTTAGGGTGTTTAGGGTGTTTAGTGTTTAGGACAGTTTAGGGTTTAGGGTTTAGGGCTATTGAGGGCTTCAGGGATTTCAATGATTTCGGCGGTTCTAAGGGTTTTGCGGGTTTAAGAGGCTTAAGGGTCTTGGAGTTTCACGCGTTGCTTTTGCTCTGGATTTGTTGAGATGGGTCTGATGTACTTGGGCTTTCGGGTGCATGTTTTGTAAGGAAGGAGTGTACGATTGACTTATGTATCTTTTGCGGGTGGTTGGAAGAACAAGGTTTGCTTCAGGTTTAGTTTTTTGGGGTGTAGAGTTCTCTTGTAGAGCATGTTTTTTTGGGATCTTTGTTGCGTTGTAGGTTGGACGTGATTATGTGTGGCTTGGCTGCAACTGAGGCTTTGGGAATAGCGTCAACAGAAAATTCTGCATGGAAGCCTCTTTGAGTAGAAACATGAACAGAAGCCTTTGGAAAGAGGAAAATTGTTCACCCCAGGTGTTGGAGGCCAACTCTGACTTTTTTGCGCTTGAGGAGAGCGCCAGCAGGGAGTTGGCCGCCCCATGTCTGTCATGCGCGCCCGCATGGACGACAAGAGACCGGACGGTGGCTGTCGTGGCACCGTTCTTGAAGACCTCAGCCCATCATTGAAAGATTTTTCAACAAGGAGGTGCCAAGCGAGGAACGAAAACGCACACATCGAATGCACGCCCCTAAGCCCTAAACCCTAAACCCTAAAAAAAAACCTAAACCTAAACCCAAATCCCTAATCCCTAAACCCTAAACCCTAAACCCTAAACCCTAAACCCTAAACCCTAAACCCTAAACCCTAAACCCTAAACCCTAAACCCTAAACCCTAAACCCTAAACCCTAAACCCTAAACCCTAAACCCTAAACCCTAAACCCTAAACCCTAAACCCTAAACCCTAAACCTTAAACCCTAAACCCTAAACCCTAATCCCTATGTGTCGGATGAGAACGCTAAGAAACGAACACACTTGTTCTTGTCGCTATGAAGTCCGCGGGACATCACTCAGAGGAATCAGCGTTGTGGACAGGTAAACCCTAAACCCTAAACCCTATACCCTAAACCCTAAACCCTACACCCTAAACCCTAAACCCTACCTTCCAAATTCTTTGATAGGTTTGCAGCGGTTGAAAGCCCTGGTCTGGGTCATCTTGTGGAGGAAGCTGCAAACCCTAAGCCCTAAACCCTAAACCCTAAACCCTAAACCCTAAACCCTAAACCCTAAATCCTAAACCCTAAACCCTAAACCCTACAGTAAACCCTACAGTAAACCGTAAACCCTAAACCTTGGGGAATGACTTGTGGATTCCGCGGGCTGGAGCGGCATCTACTCCCCCCCCCCCCCCCTCCCAATTGCAAGCAGTGCAGGGTTTCGGGTTTGGGGTTTAGGGTTTAGGGTATCAGAAGAACGGCAGTTCCATCAGGGCTTATGATGGTTTATCAATTTGGGTTGCAAGAGTTTTTAAGGGTCATAAGAACCCTAGACCCGAAACCCAAAAATTCCTAAGCCCGAAGCCCTCAACCCAAACCGTATAAACCCTGACTGTCCAACCTGGGATGTCCAGTACTCGTAGGAGCCCCAAGCCCTATCAAAGGCATCCCATCGTCGGCGGTATGGTCCCCTATGGCGTCATTGAGGCCAGCCTTCAGTTTGAAAACCCTAAAACATCCTTGAGTTCTGCGAGCCCGATAAGCCTTAAACCCTCAGCTGTCTAGTGTAATTAAACCTAAACCCCAAGCTCACAACCATAAACCCCAACCCCTAAGACCAAACTACCCCCAAACCTAGACAGCCCTAAGCCCACCCCTTGTTACGCACCACCGAGAGCCGGCCCTTATTCCCTAAACCCTAAACCCTAAACCCTAAACCCTAAACCCTAAACCCTAAACCCTAAGCCCTAAACCCTAAATTTAAGAGCCTCCGGCTCAAGCCGCCGACCCCGCTGGAGCATAGTTGAGAGGTCTAAACCCGCTCGCATGGAAGATCATCCCAACCTGCTCAGCAGAGTTCTGTGAATCGTTTGGGGGGGCTAGGGGGTAGCACCAGGACAAGCTCAAGCCAAAAAGACAGGTGGGTGGGGGGCTTGGGGCTTAGGGCTTAGGGCTTAGGGCTTAGGGCTTGGGGCTGAATGCTTAGGGTTAGAGAAAAACGCTGATTTTGCTGAGGGCGCCCCTACCCCCCCGTGCTGAAGCCCCTGTTTACGCTGTGCGGGTAGCGCGGTCCTCCATGAAAAAATTGTGCACCGACCCCCCCACCCCCCCCCCCCCCCCCCCCCCCCCCCCCTTCGCGTTTTGGGGGGGTAAGGAGGGAAAGAGGGAGGTTTTCCCATCCAACACGCCGCCAGGGTCGGCGGACCCTAAACCCTAAACCCTAAACCCTAAACCCCTCTTCCCGAAGAAGCGCTCCCAGAGGCGGGGCCGGGCCACATGCGCCGAGCCACCTTTGGCCCGATTGTGCCAGGAGCCAAGGGTTTAGGGTTTAGGGTTTAGGGTTTAAAGTTTTTCCGGGTTTTGGGGGGGGGGGGGGGGGTCGGTTAGGGTTTTGGGCTTAGGGTCTAGGTATACGGATTTTTTTTGGCTTTTGCGGGGGCGTTAGACGGGGGATTTGGGTTTCGGGTTTGGGGTTTTATTTTTTATGGTTGTTGGGGCGTTTTTGGCTTTGAGAGGCTTGCAAAGAGGGCTTTGGAGGCCTCAGTCAGGGGCTCAGAGGTTCGGGTTTAGGGTTTAGGGTTTAGGGTTTAGGGTTTAAGGTTTAGGGTTTAGGGTTTAGGGCTCAGAGGTTCTGGATTATCTCATCCCAGGGCTCTCTATGAAGCATCTTGGTTATGGGGGTTGGTGGTCTCTTTAAGTACTGTAGGTCTTCTGTCTTATGGGGCATATATTCGGGCATCTTGTGAGGGTATCTAGGGGCTATATTGAGGTATATGGGTAACAGATAAAGGCCACTGGCCTGTTTAGCATCTTGGGCCTTGGAAGCCGCGCGGGCTGCTTCGGCATCTTCGTTTCGGGGGGCTACGGTTTAGGGTTTAGGGTTTAGGGTTTAGGGTTTAGGGTTTAGGGTTTAGGGTTTAGGGTTTAGGGTTTAGGGTTTAGGGTTTAGGGTTTAGGGAGAAATCAACGTTGTGCCTCCGATTCGGGTGGTCTTGAGCTACATTTCGAAGCCCGAAGACCCTAAACCCTCAACCCCTAAACCCTAAACCCCGAAAAGTTGAGACCTTCCACCTTCGCCTGCCCCCCCCCCCCCCACTTTAGGGTCTAGGGTTTAAGGAGGATTTGGGGGGCTTCTGATTCCCTTCTCGCGGAGGTTCGACGACTCGATGCCGCCGACCCTCACAGCAGCCTTGCGAGGTGCGCTGGGGCGGGACTAGGGTTTAGGGTTTAGGGTTTGGGGTTTAGGATTTAGGCTATTAGGGTTTAGGGTTTGGGGTTTAGGGTTTAGGGGTCTAGGGTTTAGGGGTTTAGGGTTTACGGTGTAGGGTGTGGGGTGCAGGGTTTAGGTTTTTCTTTTAAGCCTTGAACCCTAAAAGCTTTGACCCAAAGCCCTTTAACCTTTCACCCTAAACCCTAAAACCCGAAGTCTGTTGCGCCAGCTTGTCATTTTACTATTTTGAACCAGCCCTGAGACATATGTAAGGGCTGTTGTCTTGATGTTCCCACTTATACTAACGCTCCTTAATAGGGATGTTGGTACCCCCCCCCATTACAATCCCCACCAAGGACTCTTAGTATAAGGGGGAACGTCTAAACCCTAAACCCTAGACCCTAGACCCTAAACCCTAAACCCTAAACCCTAGAACCTGGACCCGAAACCCATAATAGCAAACTGTTGCCACTCACCACACCTAGACGGCCTCACCGCGACTCAACTGAATCCGAAACCGCAAGCACTTCCAAGTGGCCGCGGCATCCATACAAGACCGGGAAGCTCCTATAAACCCTAAACCCTAAACCCTAAACCCTAAACCCTAAACCCTAAACCCTAAACCCTAAACCCTAAACCCTAAACCCTAAACCCTAAACCCTAAACCCTAAACCTAACCCTAAACCCTAAACCCTAAACCCTAAACCCTAAACCCTAAACCCTAAACCCTAAACCCTAAACCCTAAACCCTAAACCCTAAACCCTAAACCCTAAACCCAAAACCCTAAACCCTAAACCCTAAACCCTAAAACATAAACCCTAAACCCTAAACCCTAAACCCTAAACCCTAAACCCTAAACCCTAAACCCTAAACCCTAAACCCTAAACCCTAAACCCTAAACCCTAAACCCTAAACCCTAAACCCTAAACCCTAAACCCTAAACCCTAATCCCTAAACCCTAAACCCTAAACCCTAAACCCCAAGCCCTAAACCCCAAGCCCTAAACCCCAAACGCCAAACCCCAAACCCTAAACCCTAAACCCCTAACCCCTAAACCCTAAACCCTAAACCCTAAACCCTAAACCCTAAACCCTAAACCCTAAACCCCAAGCTCTAAACCCCAAACGCCAAACGCCAAACCCCAAACCCCAAACCCCAAACCCCAAACCCCAAACCCTAAACCCCAAACCCCTCACGTGGCAGGTGCCGGCCTGGCTGTGGAGGTGGTCTCCGAGGCGGGTCGTTAAGGCTCAAGATACCCACGAAACCCCCTAAACCCTCAACCCTCGACCCTAAACCCTAAACGCTAAACCCTAAACCCTAAACCCTAAGCCCTAAACCCTAAACCCCAAGCCCTAAACCCTAAACCCTATAGACGACCTGCAACCCTGAAGACTGAAAATCGCAAGCGAGGTAGGGTAGACTTTCAACCCTGTAACTGTATAGACCTTCAACCCTCTAAACCCCAAACCCCAGGGGGCATTTGTACGACTGCTAGTGCAGAGCCTCATGCAGTGCAGCCCTTAGGCTCGCTGAAGCAAGTAGCTCACACGAGTTTCTAGCGATTGCTCTGTAAACCGATGACTTTCTTCCGGGTCTTTCTCTCGGTGGCGGCGTGCAGCCTCGTCTGCGCACTGCCGGATCTGCCGGCCCCGACGGAGGCACTGAAGTCCACGGTCCGTGCCCTCTGGGCCAACGGAACCCTGCAGCGCCTGGCCCACGGCCGGGCGGTGGAGCCGCTACACGCCCACGCGCAGTCAGCGCTCCGGCTGGGATCCTCGCTGCGCGCCTCCGAGGGCAGCGCGCCGCCGGAGGAGGTGGCCGAGCTCGTCTTCCGGGAGCTGGGCCTACGCAACAGCCGGGTGCTGAAGGCCCTGCATGGCTTTGGACGCTCCTGCTCTGGCGTGGCCATCGTGCAGCAGGCGTCTGTGCAGCAGCCCTACGTGTACAACAGCGCCACCATCCAGTGCCAAAGCGGGTCGGCGGCCATTTGGTGGCAGGGGGTCGCTGAGACGAGCACGCGCCGCACAAACGCCACGGGGGCCGAAGAGTATCTCGAGCGGATCAAGGTTGCGGCAGAGGTTGTCGGTGAAACCCAGGATCACCAAGCTGCAATGGATGTCTACCTCCTTCTTACAGCACTCAGTGTTGGCCATGCCATTCAGGTAATTCCCAGCAAGGTCAGGGGAGGGTCGACTCCTTCCCTGCGGCCATGGCAGCCTTCGACAAGGGCATCCATTCATTTTAGGGTTTAGGGTTTAGGGTTTAGGGTTTAGGGTTTAGGGTTTAGGGTTTAGGGTTTAGGGTTTAGGGTTTGGCATTGGCCGAGGCCTTCGGCAGCAAGACGACCTCGAAGATTATCGGGAAGGAGGCGTGCCTAGGCTTTGACAGCTTCTCAGACGACACATCCGTGAATGTGGTGCAGTGCCTGGATGATGAGCATGTTGCCGACTTCGTTGGGGAGTATTTCCATGACCTGGGTTGGGCCTTTGGGGGCGACATGGAGAAGGTCAAGAGCGAGCTGCTTCTGTGGAAGTACGCCAGCGGGGACAACTTCTCGTATGACGGCATCCACTTCACGAACACTGCGGAGTCGACTGTGCGCATGCTCAAGGTCTTCAAGAACCATGACGACACGCTTTCCTGCTCCCACTGGGCCATCGTGGAATATGGCGGCGCCTTCCAGCTGGCTCCAGACGTCATCGTTTGGGAGAAGTCGTCATCATCGTGGCTCGGCTTCAAGACGAGCGATGAGATGTACACACAGCAGGTGCCCCACAAGATCTCACCACAGGACGTCCAAGCACTCATGTTGCTCTTCGACATTCTGGCCTTTGGCCGCCTTGCGGAAGCCAGAGGTCTCAGTTACACTTGGCCGTCCTTGCCCGGGTGCCCTAAGCAAACAGCAACACCTCGAAACGGCTGGTCATGGGCAACGACACCCTGGAGCAATTGCTCAAAGCCTTGTGGCGGAGGTCAGGCCACCAGGGAAGTCTTCTGTGTCAGCCAGTCTGGCCAGACGGATCCCACTGGTTCACATTGCAAATCCACACCCAGGCCTTCTGCTGAACAGCCTTGCAACGAAATTCCTTGCACGGGAAAGTTTCTGGTTGACGTGATGAAGGCTGAGGTGGACCGCCTGCTCAAGACTCTTCCATCCACGCCCCCCGCTGCAGGAGCGGCGATTCTGCAGCGTCTAGCTGCGTCTGGTGGTCACGACGTGGTGTCAGTGCCTCCTGACCAGGTGAGGACGGTTCAGAACAGCTGGATGGTTGCCAACAGCTGGCCGAGCAATGTGACCGAAGAGTTTGATGCGATCATCGCGGCCGCCAGTGAGCAATACCAAGCTTTCTCGTCTGCATATTTGCCTGAGCAGGCCACCTGGACGGTGGTCATTGGGGCTGCGCGGCGCTTCAACGGCAGTGTCGACATGGCCTACGTGTCCGCCACGGGCACTGGCAGCCCTCTCCAGCAGCACTACGGAAACGAGAAGTCTGTGCAGTGCCCGGCTCATTTTCTCAGAAGCCCGCTGGTATGTTTTCACACGTTGTGGGGAGGTCCGGGCACTAAACTGATTATATAGTACCCTGAGGCTGCCCTAAACCCTAAACCCTAAACCCTAAACCCTCAACCCTCAACCCTCAACCCTCAACCCTCAACCCTCACCCCTAAACCCTAAACTAAACCCTAAACCCTAAATCCTAAACCATAAACCCTCACCCCTAAACCCTAAACCCTAAACCCGAAAACCCTAAACCCTAAACCCTAAACCTTAAACCCTAATCCCTAAACCCTAAACCCTAAACCCTAAACCCTAAACCCTAAACCCTAAACCCTGAACCCTGAACCCTGAACCCTGAACCCTGAACCCTGAACCCTGAACCCTGAACCCTGAACCCTAACCCTACCCTAACCCTAAACCCTAAACCCTAAACCCTAAACCCTAAACCCTAAACCCTAAACCCTAAACCCTAAACCCTAAACCCTAAACCCTAAACCCTAAACCCTAAACTAAACCCTAAACTAAGCCTAGGTTTGCCACATCCTACAGCCTCCCAGTTTGCGCGTCCTCCCCTCCAAGCTGCGGTCGCTTCATGCCCTGCAGGGTGCCCGGAGTCGCTTGGGACCCGTTTAGGGTTTAGGGTTTAGGGTTTAGGGAGTTGGTTCATAGGGCTTCCAGGGTTTCATAGAGTTTCTTCCTTATCAAGGGGTTCGAAGTCCAGCCGAGGTACTGGGATCCTGCCCTCAGGCGTGCCCGTGTACCCCATGTCAGTGCGGGGTGCAGGTGGGCAGCATTACAAACTCTGATCCCCTGTTCTGGTTTCGATGACCATGCGGAGCCCTAAGCCCTAAACCCTATAAACCCTATAAATCTTACAACTTCTAGAAATCCTATACAACCTCTAGATCCTACAATTCCTATCCCTAAACCCTAAACCCTAAACCCTAAACCCTAAACCCTAAACCCTAAACCCTAAACCCTAAACCCTAAACCCTAAACCCTAAACCCTAAACCCTAAACCCTAAACCCTAAACCCTAAACCCTAAACCCTAAACCCTAAACCCTAAACCCTAAACCCTAAACCCTAAACCCTAAACCCTAACCCTAAACCTAAACCCTAAACCCTAAACCCTAAACCCTAACCCTAAACCCTAAACCCTAAACCCTAAACCCTAACCCAAACCCTAAACCCTAAACCCTAAACCCTAAACCTGAACCCCTGAACCCTGACCCTGAGCCCTGAGCCCTGAGCCCTGAGCCCTAAGCCCTAAGCCCTAAGCCCTAAGCCCTAAGCCCTAAGCCCTAAGCCCTAAGCCCTAAGCCCTAAGCCCTAAACCCTAAACCCTAAACCCTAAACCCTATCTGCAGGTGCCTTCCGTCCCGTCCTCCCGGCCGGTGCCGGCAGCCTTTGGCTGTGGGGCGCTCTTAGGCACAGCTCCTCTCCAGGTGAGGCCCTGGCCCATAAACCAACATAGGGTTCAGGGTTTAGGGTTTAGGGTTTAGGGTTTAGGGTTTAAGGTTTGTGGTTGGGGTTTAGGGTCACGGTTTAGGGCCTGCGGTATGCGACGTTTTGGGGTTTAGGGTTGTGTGTGGCAAACGCTTGCCTAACCCTCAATGCTAGACCTCAATTTTGATTAGGGCCTCGAGGGCGACCCTTTGTAGGAACCAATTGTTGATAACAGGAGCCCCCCTAAGGTTTAGGGTTTAGGTTTAGGGTTTAGGGCTTAGGGCTTAGGGCTCAGGGCTTAGGGTTGAAAACGAACCCTGCAGGTGACTTTCTCGGACCACTTCACACCTGGAACTTGCCAGTCCAGAGGGGATCCGTACGAGTCTTTTTGCATGTTCGAGTCGCCCCTCTCGTCCAGGACCTTTGATTTCAGTGGCTGCCGCGATCCTGGCCACCTTGGCCAGTGCAACAAGCCACTTACGAATGAGCAGGTTCAGCTGATACGAAGCTTAGCTGCTGAGTGAACCTTTTTTTTGGGTGGGTTTGACAAAGCCCTTGAAAACCCAAAGGTTGCCCGTAAGCCCTCTTTGCCTTGGATGGGGGATTCTACACAGCCAGTGAGGAAGTGCACTCGAAGCCACCGCCAGGCCACAGCTACCCTCGCACCTGGACCTCCTGGCAGTGAAGCTCAGGGAGCCACCCCCGTACCCACCGGCAGCCCGCCTTTGGGTTTGAGCATGCAAAGTCGCGGCGTGCTTGTACATTCTAATGTAATGCCCTCCTCTTGGTGCAAAGAACCTAAAGATAGACAGGCATGATCAAGTTATGGTTTATCATGTACAGCGGTCCTGGCCGGCCGGTTCGGAACCCTTGAAAGCACCGGAGAGGGAGGATGACATTGCAACGACCTGGGCCCGAGCAAGCGAGTGGTACTCCTAGCTCATGCCTGGGCCGACGATGCGTGCCCGCGGACCGAACAGAATGCCGCCGCACACGCGTCGCAAAGGGGAGATGGATCAACTTGTGGCGTGTGGGATACAGGGCTTAGGGGCTTTGGGTTCAGGGCCTAATTTATCAGTAGTCATGTTCGTAGAGCTTGCGTGCCCTTGGTGCCTAAACCCTAAACCCAGCCGCAGCACACACTAGAGATGCTCCAAGTGCAGCAGACGCTCCCCTGATCTCCTTGCCCTTAAACCCCAAAACGAAAGACGATGAAAGGGCCTGGGGTTCGGGGGTTAGGTTTTAGGGTTTAGCGTTCAGCGTTTAGCTTCAAAAGCAGAAAGACTCAAAGCCTTGAGCAGAGCAGGAAACCCAAGAACACCTTCACAAGGCTGATGCCCATGCGGAGCAGTGCTTCAAGCAGGGCCCTTACATGCACCAGTGGGTGGAGGATGTAGGGTGTAGGGTGTAGGGTTTAGGGTTTCGGGCATAGGGTTAAGAGTCAGGGTGTGAAGGGCGCAATGAATGTTTTGTTGTTGTTTTTGATAACCCTGAAGACGAGGTTTGTTAGTCCGAAAAGAGCCTCAACCCAAGCAGTAGTCACCATGTGACGTGGGGTTCAGAATCCCTCCCAGATCACTTCTTTGGTTTAGGGTTTAGGGTCTAGTTTTTTTTAGGGCTTGAGATGGTGGGCCTTGCCTTATCAGAGCCCTCCCTGTTTTCCTGCAGCTGTACCGCAAACCCTGAACCCCAAACCCTAAACCCAACCCCAAACCCAAACCCCAACCACGAGCTTTTTGACACTTGCCCACGAACTTTTCGATACCTGGCCCTTACAGTGTCAACAAGTTCGCGGGCAAATGTCAACAAGTTCGTGGGCGAGAGAAAAAGACACTTGCCCACAAACTCTTTGACGCCTGCCCACGAACTTTTCGACACCTGGCCCTTAAAGTGTCAAAACGTTCGCGGGCAAGTGTCGAAAAGTTCGTGGGCGAGTGAACAACAATGCTGGCCCACGAAGTCCAGCAAATTTCAATTGCACAATAGGGTTTAGGGCTTAGGGCTTAGAGTGTAGGGTTTAGGGTTTAGGGCAGCGTTTAGGGACTTTCGCGGAACCCAGGCTGGTCGTCAACTGCCATAATGCGCTGAACGCCCTGCGCGGAAAGCCGCTGGTGGAGGCGTCAGCAGATCGCGCGGCCCTAAGGGCGGTTTAGGGTCTAGGGTCTAGGGTCTAGGGTTTAGGGTTTAGGGTTTCGGGTTTAGGGTTTAGCGTTTAGGGTTTCGGGTTTTTTGGGGTTCTGGGCTGGGGAAATAATCTAGGGGCCTGAAGAATTAGAATAGGGTTTTGGGGGTTGTTATAGTACATAGTTACAAAGGGACCATAAGGGACATGCAGGTCCTGTTACACAGGGAGTTACATAGAGCGGACCCTTATTGGCAACCCGAAACCCAAATGACCTGCCAAGATCCACGAGTCTACCCCACAAGCCAAGGGTCACAAGGGGCGTTTGAGGGTCTAAGGTTTAGGGTTTAGGGTTTAGGGTTTAGGGTTTAGGGTTTAGGGTTTAGGGCGCTGCGCCTTTCACTTGAGGGCTCTGGGTCGTACCCCGAACCCTATAGCTTAGGCTTAAACACTTAAGCCCTGAGCCCCGGACACCTTAAAGCCTTCTTGCCCGGGACTCACTTGAAACCCTAAACCCTAAACCCTAAACCGCAAACCCTAAACCCTAAAGCCAACCTCCCTGAGAAGCCCGAGGCCTCTACCGCGAGCTCATGGCCAGTACCTGGGAGGAGGCATTGGAGGCCGGGGGGGTTTCGTTTGAGGGTTTAGGGTCTAGGGTTTAGGGTTGGGTTTAGCCTAAACCCCAAACCCTAAACCCGAAGCCCTAAAGTCTCCTAAACCCTAGCCCCTAAACTTTAAGCCCTAAAGTCCTAAACCCTAAACCCTTCAGGGCTTATGGGGCTTAGGGCTTGAGGGCTTACAATTCAGGGTAGGCAGGCGAAGTTCACGCAACATCTCTTTGCGTGGGCACTCCTTTAGTTTCCAAGCACTAGTTTAGAAGCCCTAAGACCCAGAAACCCTAAACCCTAAACCCTAAACCCTAAACCCTAAACCCTAAACCCTAAACCCCAAACCCTAAACCCTAAACCCTAAACCCATCTTGACCCTAAGCCCCAAAGCCAGAGCAGGTCCTGCGCCGCTCGGGCCAGCCCCTCCGGGGCACGATGAACGGCACCTGGGCTGAAGGGTTTAGGGTTTAGGGTTTAGGGTTTAGGGTTTAGGGTTTGGGGTTTCGGGTTACGGGTTTAGGGTTTAGGGTTTAGGGTTAGGGTTTGGGGTTTAGGGTTTGGGGTTTACGGTTTAGCGCTCAGGGTTCACCATCTCAAATCCAAGCATTCACATAGTCAAGCAGCTTGTCAAGCGTCGGGAACATACCCACCCGCCCAAAGAATCCCACAACATTAAGAAACATGAAGTTCACTCAGTCCATACACCCTAGAGACACAACAGCAGCATACCTTGCACAAGTTGGTTGAATCAATAATTTGATTCCATCTTTCAAGCAATGCATGCGTGCCATGCGCTGGTTACCTGTCTGCAGGGACTGTATGACATGCAAGAATAGCACTTTATCGAAAGTTCCTATGCGCTTACCCTTCCTAGGCCCCCTGGGCCCAGCGCCTGGGCCCTGAACCCCTAGGCCCTCTACCCAAAAACCCTAGCCCTGAACCCCTAGGCCCTCAACCCAAAAACCCTAAACCCTAAACCCCAAACCCTAAACCCTAAACCCGAAACCCTAAACCCTAAACCCTAAACCCCAAACCCTAAACCCTAAACTCTCCTAGGCATGCCCATGGAGCGGTACCTTCGGATCCTCCGGCTGCCCAACTTCGCCCTGAACGCTGTGAAGCGCAGCTGGGCTTAGGGTTAAGGGCTTAGGGTTTAGGGTTTAGGGTTTAGGGTTTAGGGTTTCGGGCCTCGGGTTTAGGGTTTAGGGCTAGGGTTTAGGGTTTTAGGCCGTTATTCTGCCTTTTTTTTGTGGGGCTTGGGGTCCCGTCAAAGCCCCTTCAAACCAAAGAAGGGAGCCCTCTTTGTTCCTAGATCACGCGTGGGTCCTGTCCAACGCCAAGGGACCGGGACCTTCAGAGTTTTGGGCGGGTTTAGGGTTTTACTGTAGTTTTTTAGGGTTTCGGGGCTTTGGGGTTTTAGGGATTGTTGGGTTTTTTTAGGGTTTTGGGGTTTTTGTGTTTTTGTGTTTGAGGGTTTTGGAGTTTTAGGGTTTTGGGGCCCTTTGGGTGTTAACGTTTCGGGTTTAGGGTTTCAGGGTTTTAGGGCTTAGGGGGTCTAGGGTTCAGGCTTACATTCCTAACCCCGAAGCCCTAAACCCACAATTAAACACAACACTCCCCCTACAGCCCCGAGAGACGAAAGCCCTAAGCCACAAACCCCTACCTCAAACCCTAAACCCTAAACCCTAAACCCTAAACCCTAAACCCTAAACCCTAAACCCTAAACCCTTTGCACCCCAAAGAAGCCCCGAGGCTTGAAGCCGGGTCTGGCGCCCGATCCGCAATACCACTCCTCCATGCGCCTTCGCCCTGACATTGGTGTGCCGTTCGGGCATTTGTCGGTTTCTTTTGGGGGGTGTTTTCAGGGTTAGAGGTTTAGGGTTTAGGGTTTAGGGTTTAGGGTTTAGGGTGTAGGGCCCAGGGTTTTTGGGGCTTGCCGTTTTTTTCCTTTGGGGATTCGGATTTGGGGCTTCGGAGAATTCAAGCCCTCAATCGCCTCCCACTTGGAGGTTCATGGTACTTTGCAACCCAATTATCACTGTCCTTCTCACCCAATTATAACCCTATTAGGATAGTTAAGGGGCTTATATGTGGGTTCTAGCTACACTTATAGTTGCCCTAAACCCTAGACCCTAAACCCGGAACCCTGAACCCTGAACCCTAAACCCTAAACCCCTAAGTACCCTGAGCCTCCAAGCAGGTTCTACGACCTGGAGCAGAGAAGGCGGACGGAGATCGAGGAGAGGTGTTTAGGGGTTCAGGGGGGGGGGGGGGGGGGGGCAGAATTGCAAAACTGACCCTAAACCCGAAACCCTAAACCCTTAACTGATTAACTGAAAGGACTTTAGGCTTACTACTACAAGGGCCACTGACATCTGCCAGGAGTTGAACGGGCTGGTCGAGCCTCGGCAGGATCACTACGATGTGTTTAGAATCACGCATATAGGTTTAGGGTTTAGGGGGTTTAGGAAAATATGATCCCCTTTGGGGCACCCTAATTATTAGGTGCCGTACTATAATAGGGATCCAAAAAGGGACCATAACTTTGCCAGGCACCCATATAACTGCAGAAAGCATATCCTGGGGTTAGGGTGTAGGGTTAAGGGCCTAATTTAGGGTTTAGGGTTCAGGAAAGCAGTAAGTGTTGTAGCCGTCATATCGCCATGGATGTGCTACGGTTCTGGGCCTTGTAGACTTCAAGTCTCAAGGCTTCATAGGGTTCGGGGTGTACACACTACAGGGTTCAGGGTTCAGGGTTCAGGGTTCAGGGTTTTTGGTTCAGGGTTTTTGGTTCAGGGTTTCGAGCTACAAGGGAGCTTTCCAGCTTGTTAGGGTTTTGGGCTTACGGTTTAGAATAAGGCTTGTATTGTTTATGACCCTAAGCGCTAAACCCGGAAGCCTCTGGATGCTTATTCAAACCCTAAACCCTAAACCTTAAACCCTAAACCCTAAACCCTATACCCTATATCCTATACCCAAAACCCTAATTTCTATGTGTGCTCTCTCTCTCTCTCTCCGGGATGTTTTCCCTGCGAAGCCCGAGGGCCCATACTTCAGAAGGTAAGGGACCGAGTAAGAGACCATGTAACCCTAAACCCTAAGCCTAAACCCATTGCTAACCCTAAACCCTAAACCCACTACTAACCCTAAGCTAATCCTCAACCCACTACTAGCCCTAGACTAAATCCTAAACCCACTGCTATCCCTAGACTAAATCCTACACCCACTACTAACCCTAAACCCTAAACCCACTACTAACCCCTAAGCCCTAAACCCAAAACCCACTACTAACCCTAAGTCCCAAACCCGAAACCCTAAACCCTCAGACTCTCAGGTGAAGATGGCGGCGGATGCGGGTGTTCCGTGCCCGGTGAATACCGCGTTGGCGCGTCTCGTGCCTTGGGCCGCCAAGGGTTGCACGCTTCTGCAGGGTTATGGACTTAGGGTTTGGGGTTTGGGGTTTGGGGTTTAGGGTTCAGAGTGTAGGTGTAGGGTGTAGGTTGTAGAGTGTACTTAGAGGCCGCGTGCACCCCGAAGCAAGCCCCAAGAAGTGGGCAGGGCTTTGCGTTTTGATTGCACTTTTGACTTCTTAGGGTTTAGGGTTTAGGGTTTAGGGTTTAGGGTTTAGGGTTTAGGGTTTAGGGTTTAGGGTTTAGGGGATCTTTCCAGTGCTTGTTTGTAGCTCCTGCACACAGTTTAAGCGTTGTTCACCACATTTTGTCTTCGGCGTTTCTTCTAAGAGTTCAGGGTTGAGGGTTTAGGGTTCAGGGTTGATGTTTCGGGGCATCAACCCTAAACCCTCAACCGCGCATGCCTTCGGAGCACGCACCTTCGGGTTTAGGGTTTAGAGGTCTAGAGGTTTAGGGTTTAGGGTTTAGTTTAGGGCTTAGGTTTTAGGGTTTGGGGTTTAGGGTTTAGGGTTTAGGGTTTAGAGGTCCAGAGGTTTAGAGGTTTAGGGTTTTAGGGGTTTTGACAAAAAGAGGTTTTAGGTTCCACACCCGAGAAGCTCCAGAAGCCCTCCAGCCCAAAACGACCCCCCCCCCCCTTCGGGTTTAGGGTTTAGGATTTAGGGTCTAGGGTACCTCGGACCCTAGATGTTAGCAGGTTCAGGGTTCAGGGCTTAGGGTTTAGGGTTCAGGGTCTAGGGTTTCAGGGTTTCAGGGTTTCAGGGCTTAGGGTTTCGGGTACCTGAGACCCTAGATGTTAGCCCAGGTAACCCCAAAAAAGAACTCCGACAAAGCACCCCAGGTGCGGGAGGCCGAGGCGGCGAATGCTGGAAGCCCCCGACTGAGCCCCGAGGAGCCCGTTTTTTCTTTGGGGGTTTCGGGTTGAGGGTTTCGGGTTTAGGGTTTCGGGTTTAGGGTTTAGGGTGTAGGGTGCAGGGTGTAGGGTTTAGGGTTGAGGGTTTAGGGTGCAGGGTTTAAGGTTTGGGGTTTAGGATTTAGGGTTTAGGGTTGAGGGTTGATGTGGTCGCAGGCTTAGGGTTTAGGGGCTCCGTGTCTCAAGGGGTATTGGGTCCTTGAGGTTGTGAGTGGCCAGAGGGTCCTTGGGGTTGAGCGGTTTTAGGGTTTAGGGTGTAGGGTTTCAGGGCTTAAGGTTTAGGGTGTGGTAGTTTTGTGGAGGATGTTCGGGGTCGGGGCTTAGGGGTTCAGGGGTTCAGGGGTTCAGGGGTTCAGGGGTTCAGGGGTTCAGGGGTTCAGGGGTTCAGGGGTTCAGGGGTTAGGGTTTAGGGTTTAGGGTTTAGGGTTTAGGGTTTAGGGTTTAGGGTTGAGGGTTGAGGGTTTAGGGTACCCTAATTCAACCCCAGCAGCCCTTGAAGTGCGCAGACCTGACAGTTCACCTGCGCGCAGGCCCTCTTTGCCGAGATTCGCAAGGAGGTGGGGTTTGTGGTTGAGGGTTTAGTTAGGGTTTAGGGTTTCGGGGTTAGGGTTTAGGGTTTAGGGTTTAGGGTTTAGGGTTTAGGGTTTAGGGTTTAGGGTTTCGGGGTTAGAAGGGTTGAGGGTGCAGAGTTCAGGGTGCAGCGTTCAGGGCTGAGGTTGTTTTTTGGACCGGATTAGTGCCAGGTCCTTCTTCCCCACCAGGTTCACGAGGCGCCCTAAGCCCTAGAGGGTTTAGGGTTTAGGGTATAGGGTTTAGGGTATAGGGTTTAGGGTATAGGGTTTCAAGTAAAGGGCCATTGGCTGTCGGCCGGCCTCTTCCACCGCGCCCCCGTGGTCACTCTCATGCAGGGTTGGCCCTAAACCTCAGACACCTGAAACCCTATGTAAACCCTAAACTCCAATTCCCCTTTATACTAACAGTCCTTAGTAGGGACACAGGGGTACCCTTATCCCTATGCACTGTTAGTATAAGGGGGACATCCCAATCTAAGCCTTAGCCCTGTAAGGGGGACATCCCAATCCAAACCCTTAACCCTGAACACTAAACCCTAAACCTTAAAACCCTGTCCAGGCGTACGGTTTAGGGCTCGACAGCCTCCAAACCCTGGGAGCCCTTAAGAGTTGAGGCTTTAGGGTTTAGGGTTTAGGGTCGTAGGGTTTAGGGTTTAGGGTTTAGGGTTTAGGGTTTAGGTGTTTGGGGTTTAGGGTTTCGGGTTTAGCCCTCAGCAAACTTTATCCAAAGTCTGGTAGAGAAACGCTCGGAGGCCCCGGCGCGGGAGGGAACGCCACAGACGAGCCTCTTGGCGAGTGAGAGGGATTAGGGTTTAGGGGTTGAGGGGTTGAGGGGTTTAGGGATGTAGGGGTCTTTTGGAGTTTAGCGATTTAGTCGTTTAGGGATTTGGGCGTGTAGGGTTTAGAAACCCTAAACCCTGAATCCGAAGCTTTTCCCAAGGCCCAATGCTCCCGACGCAAAGCACAAGTCTCTTTCAAGCCAGACCCCTGAAACCCGTAAACCCTTGAACCCTACAGCCCCTAAACCCCTGGAGTTGTATTAGGGTTTAGGGTTTAGGGTTTAGGGTTTAGGGTTTAGGGTTTAGGGCTTAGGGTTTAGGATTTAGGGTTCAGGGTTTAGGGTTTAGGGTTTGCGGCTTAGGGATTGGGCATCGAAGAACTCGGGCGAAATCTGCCTTAGCATTCTAAGCCCACGGGGCAGCCTGAAGATTCTATACATTCGAAGCTAGGGTTTAGGGTTTAGGGTTTAGGGTTTAGGGTTTAGGGTTTAGGGTTTAGGGTTTAGGGTTTAGGGTTTAGGGTTTAGGGTTTAGGGTTTAGGGTTTAGGGTTTAGGGTTTAGGGTTTAGGGTCTAAATTGTTTTTGTTTTTTCGCATGTCATCATCAGTACCCTTATTTGAAACAAAGGCCACCTTACCCAAGCTCCACTCCTCTAACCCCTAGCCCATAAACCAGAAACCCTAAACACTAACCTGAACCCTAAACCCTAAACCCTAAACCCTAAGCCCTAAGCCCTAAGCCCTAAACCCTAAACCCTAAACCTTAAACCCTAAACCCCAAAGAACCTTCAAACATCCCAGGGCCCTTCGCCCGCCTTTGTCCCCAGCGCTGTGCCATGTGACCGGCTCGCTCCTCGGGCGCGCTTGGGTTTCTAGAAGTTGCTTTAGGGTTCGGGGATTCAGGGTTCAGGGTTTAGGGTTCGGGGTTTAGGGCTTAGGGTTCGGGGTTTAGGGTTCAGGGTTTAGTGCTTAGGGTTCATGTAGTAAACCAAGGCAATAACCGCCGCTTATAATGTAATAAGTTCATGTCCCTCATGATGTTCTCTTGTCTGTACATTTTGTCTTGTTAATCGATCTCACGGCCGGACAGGAAAACAATACAAGGACGAAATACAAACCTTGAAATTTGCTAGAGAACAAGATGGTGCATTTGGTGTTTTTAAAATTTCAAGTCATGTAAAGATAAAACTAATGGGGCAAATTATTCTATCTTTCTGAGCCCCTTAAGAGTCCATGCAAAAATCGTATATTGCATAATTTTGGTCGGTGCTCCTAAACCCTGAACCCCAGGAGCCTTCTGAAAATTAGCCCACCTCCCAGACCTCACAACTCCGATTTTGGTCACAGCAGCAGCTGCAGATTCTCAGGCCCCTTGTAGCTAAACCTTCAGCCGCAAACCCTAAGGCCTAAGCCCCAAACGCCTGAACCTCTAAACCCTAAACCTTAAACCCTAAACCCTAAACCCTAAACCCTAACCCTAAACCCTAAACCCTAAACCCTAAACCCTAAGCCCTATGCCCTAAGCCCTAAACCCTAAACCCTAAACCCTAAACCCCAAACCCTAAACCCTAAACCCTGAACCCTGAACCCTAAACCCTAAACCCTAAGCCCTAAGCCCTAAACCCTCAACCAACCCTCAACCCTAAACCCTAAACCCTAAACCCCTTCGCACCGTGAGGTCTCCTCATTTTTCTCGACGTTCGGAGCGCTTGGCCCCGATAGTCGACGGTCGTGGAAGAAAAGACCAGACGTTCCAAGCTCTCAGGGTTTAGGGTTTAGGGTTTAGGGTTTGGGGTTTAGGGTTTAGGGTTTGGGGGTTAGGGTTCAGGGTTTGGGGTGTAGGGGTTAGGGCTTAGGGTTTAGGGTTTGGGTAGGGTGTAGGGTTTGGGGTTTAGGGTTTAGGGTCCTAGAGGGGTTTGGGGTTCAGGTAGTGTAGGCTGGCTGCAAGGGGAAAGTCCTTCCATGCTAAGAGTTTAGGGTTCTAGGGTCTAAGGTTTAGGGTTTGGGGTTTGGGGTTTAGGGTTTCGGGTTTAGGTTTCCTTCTTTCTCATCCTTAACGGAGGATCCTTGATGTACGTGGCCCCCGTGCAACATCCCAAAGCCCAAAATCCGGCCCTCAGCACTTGAGTGGCGAGGGGAGAGTATCCACGATTCCCGAGGTGCCACATCACACCCGGATAAAGATACAGAAGACTTAGCATCTCTGATCTCGGTGGGGTGTGGCGCAGACTTCATAGGGTCCTGCCCTGAGCTTCTCCGTGAGCCTTTTTCCCCCCCAACACAAGCTCGGAGACAGAGGTTGGTTACCGGAAGGGTTTGGGGTTTAGGGTTTAGGGCGTAGGGCTTAGGGCGTAGGGCTTAGGGCTGAGGGCTTAGGGCTTAGGGCTTGGGGTCTGGGGCTTAGGGCTTAGGGCTTGTGGTTTCAAGCTTGGGCATGGGCAGGCTTGCGTTGTGAAGTTGGGAGGTGCACCAGCTTGGAGTGTGCGAGCGCGCGCGTTACTTGCGGCTCCAGCAAGAGACTCCATAGCTCGACGTTATCTGTGCCATACTTGCCATGCGGACCATCGCAGCCCTTTCTTTGCTGGTGGCCTGCTCCGCAATCCGGAATGACATGCGCCCGGGCAACACGGACCTGATGCAGGCACCCTTAGATCGGGGCAGATGTTCGCAGAAGCAATGGTGTAGTAGCCCCCCCCAAAGTGTTAGTGTGAATGAGAAAGGGGATGATGATGATATGGTGATGGTGATTAGAACAAAACGACCGAACATGATACGTCATTTGGGGTTTAGGGTTTAGGGGTTTAGGGTTTAGGGTTTAGGGTTTAGGGTTTAGGGTTTAGGGTTTAGGGTTTAGGGCGTCATACTCAGAACCGTCATCACCATTACCACCACCACCACCACCACCATCATCGTGGGCAGCTTCGGCGGCGTTCGGCGTTGACGAAACCCTAAACCCTAAACCCTAAACCCTAAACCCTGGACCCTAGACCCTAGACCCTAAACCCTAAACCCTAAACCCTAGACCCTAAACCCTAAACCGCGACCGCCACAATAATGAACATCAGCAGCACCATCGTCATCGGTAAACGTACACAAAACTTGTCAGAGTGATCTTAGCAACGACAGGAATATGGACAAGAACAACAACCACAGGAGCAGGAGTGGCATTCTAGGGGACAGGGCCGCCGAGGCCATCTTTGCCACCAAAAGTGCGTTTTTTTTTGTTTTTTCTTGGACATGTGACACTGCCAATCTTGGATGCTGACTCGTGTTCTCAACGAAATCATGCGCTTTGGCTTGCAACGAAAACATGCGATTTTCTCGGGTTTTTGGCACCATCCACACCAGGAGCGTATGGTGCTCCTGTGTTGTCGTAGGGGTTTCGGCCTTTTCCGATTTTACTTGGGGTGGGGGGGTTAGCTACGTACGGTCAAACCCTAAACCCAACAGCTCATCCCAAAAAAGCAGCATGGATGCGGTTGAGGGTTTAGGGTTTAGGGTTTAGGTTTTGTGTTACGATTGCATCCAGTGGGCAGGTGTAGGGTCTGCAGAGCCCAAACCTCTGAACCCCATACCCTACATCCTAAACCCCACCAGTCGCGCAAAGCGCGAAGACACTGAACCCTGCACCCTTCACCCCACGGAATCGTGTAGAAACCTCTGAACCCTGTACCCAAAATCCTAAACTCAGCAGTGTACCTCCGTGCTATACTGATCATGTGTGCTCGTTTGTGTAAAGCTCCAGAACCGCACAAAAGCTGTTTTGCCCGGAAGCGTACCAAATTGTTGTTTTTTTGGCATTTGATGACAAGAAACCCACGCGGTTTCCCAATTTTGACCCAAAAACATGTGTTCGTCGTAGGGGTGTTCGGACTTGACGACTTTTATTAGGGGTGCATCCCAAAAACACAGCACTGGCCAATCCGTGTTACTATTGTGTCCATCGGGCAGGTGTTGGGTCGGCGGAGCCCAAACTTCGGAACCCTAAACAACCCTGCACCCTTATAACCCTACTTGGAGGTTCAGGGTACTTAATAACTCATTGCAAGTGTGGCTGGCCAACAGCTGCGAATTGCCTGGTCGTTTCGCTGCTTTTAGACGTTTTCCTTCGTTTCTTTCGGGTTTTCCTTCGGTTTGGTGGGGGGTGAGGTGGGGGGGGGGGCTAAGAACGTCATTCACTGCGTCCATGCCCAAAACACTGGCGCTTGCAGCGTTTTCGCCTCCTTGTACAGCATACTGCACAAGGATGTGGAACAAGAAGATCTGTCACAAGTGTCCATGCCTTTCGCGACCATGCCCAAGACACTGGTATTTGCAGCGTTTTATGCCCAAAACACTGGTATTTACAGCGTTTTCGGCTCTTTGCACAACTTACTGCACAAGGATGTGGAACGAGAAAATCGTGTCACAAGCGTTTTTCCTTGCACTAAAACATCCCAAACGTGCTGCCCCAAAAAATAGCATCAGCAAAAACTCCCAACCATGCTGTCCCAAAAAGAATAGTTTTTGGAACCCCCTAAAATCAGCCTGTTTGCTCCGCACCGCGCCTGCCAGTACGAACGACGTGTCGCGCAGAGCCCGTGCCCAGGCAAAATGCAGCGCGGTAACCTAGATATACGCCCCACATAAAGCTCCTTAAGTGCCCCAATAGGGTTTTTATTTGGGTTATAAGTGCAGTTCAAAATGGGTTACTAAGTATCATGAACCACCAAGTACGGAATCGTGTAGAGCCCAAACCTCTGGAACCCTGTACCCCAAATCCTAAACTCAGCAGCGCACCTCCGTGCTATACTGATCATGTGTGCTCGTTTGCGTAAAGCGCCAAAACCGCACAAAATGGCGAACAGTAAACAGCAACAGCCAACAGCCAACAGCCAACAGCCAACAGCCAGCAGCCAACAGCCAGCAGCAGCAGCAGAAGCAGCAGCAGCAGCGGCGGCGGCGGCAGCGGCAGCGGCAGCGGCAGCAGCAGCAGCAGCAGCAGCAGCAGCAGCAGCAGCAGCAGCAGCAGCAGCAGCAGCAGCAGCAGCAGCAGCAGCAGCAGCAGCAGCAGCACCGCAACCGCAAGCACAAGCACAAGCACAAGCACAAGCACAAGAACAAGACCAAGCACAAGACCAAGACCAAGAACAAGAACAAGACCAAGTGTTAGGGTTTAGGGTGTAGGGTTAAGGCTTTTGGGTTTCGGGCGTAGGGTTTAGGTTTTAGGTGGGAGCGCCCCTTACGCGACGGGCGCGTTCCATTCGTTTTGGCGATTCTGGTTGATTCTCGGGTTGGGTTGGGTTGGGGGGGGGGGGGGGGGGTTACGTGCTTTTCGAGAGCACAGGGGTTCATGTTGTAGGTTTCGGGTGCACTCTCTACGTAGTTTTAATATTATTGCGGGCACTATTGTTCTCTTCATTTCGCCCGCATATTATTTTCTTCTTTCTAATGTTCATTTCGTACACTTGTAATATAATTCACGCGTGTACTCATTCACACACCCAGACAGTAGAATAATGGGGGAAAAAGACCACTTCGTTCACGAGTTTACGCACTAATATTAATACGGTTCATTCACAGGTTTGGTTAATAATTCCAGGGTTTTTAGTGCGTCCATTGAACCTCAGCTCCTTCATGTCTTACCGCGTAAACGCATGAATCTTATGTTTCACTACTTTTAATGAGTGTACGAACCTGTAGAAAGTGCGTGAAAACCGCTCTAAAGATAGAAACCCGGGCCATAATTCTATATCTTCATGAAGAACCCCGTATAATTCTCTTATTCACATAGTAAACCTTAGGACGTTCCCCTAATATTATATTCGTTCTCTATTAGTAATATTCCCTAGAGATTGGATAT